GGCGCTCCAAGAGATGGAGATAAAGAAAACGAAAGCATGTAGTTCTATGATATAGAATACAGAAAGAATTACTTTGACCAGCAGGTGGTTCCTAAAGGATAGCGATCAGATGAATGTGAGGAAGCGATCGATGTTATATTTCTTCAAATATTCTGAGATGTAGATCTACATAGAGTTCACCACTAAAATGGCGTTTCAAATGTCTTCAATATCAAGTTGCTGCAGAAGTGAAAGGAGAAACATAATTTCAAGAAATAGTTATTAATACACCAAGGTAGTACAAAATATCATTATTATCCAGAGACAAAGATTATATATCCCAACCATCCCCAATCATCCCCTGTCTCTCATCTATGAAGACTCAGCAATATATAACATACATATCACATACTACGTTCGGAATGATTATTGCTATTGGATCTACTGTTCAAGTTACAATATCTATATTGCGATAGAAGCTATCGTCTCTAGCACCGTATGCTACCGCGAAATCTTAATCAAGCCCGTCACTTTCGATAGCGATTGCTGCGTTTACCGACGGTAATGTCGGCGTTTAATGAACTCCGTATCAATTTAATGCTGTATCACGTGACACCTAATATATGTAGTAGTTCCTGATGACTGTTGGAGGTCGCATGCTAATGGGCGTTGAGTTGAACTGGAGCGTGGTGCCGGGAAATACTACAGGCTTATAATTCGATTGATATATATGTTAGGAATTAGCGGGTTATATGCAATAGACATAGTATTATATCCTCCTATTCAGGATAGAGCAGGGTACTTGTGATCCTTTATATCCTTTACTACATACCTAGTAGGATGTGGAGGGTTCACAGCTTTTATGTAACTGAAATAGTGCTCCGTCAATATAAAATGCATTCTCCGTCAACGATCAACAGATTTTGTGATGACTATGATACTATCATATTGATATCTAGGTAATATATAGTTTCAATTCTGAGAGACAGGCGACTACATGAGATTGATCGTCAATCACCCCTATTGATTAATGATCAATTTGTCTATCAATGCACGATTGTAGCATTTGCATCTAGAATATGGAATTCATCGAAGATCTTCCATTATAACAGACTCACTTTAGTCATTAGAAGTTTCTGAAATGATTTCTATCCCTCTTTCATTTCACATGGAATTTATATTTTATGTGGATTTTTTCAACGAATGTCAAATGTCACCAATGTCAGTGACAAGGCAACTGGGTGATTCTACCAAGGTAACACGGAACTCTTCGCGATATCTCTAAGTAATAACTACTCAAGGATCATAATGCGAAATCCTCCTGCGAGGTGCCAAAGATCACTACCCATATAGCATGAGTACGTCCCCAAAACGTACTGAGAACGTCCGGCCAAGACGTTTCGTACGTACTGGGAACGTCCAGATTCCGCGCGTTTGTACATCCTCAGTACGTCCATTCAGGACCATGGATACATGAATCAACGTAGATCCGCCTCTTCTCACTCAGATAGTCAAAACAGAGATTTAGATACAGTAAAATGTCTCATTTTGAATGAAAAAAAATTGAAAAAAAAACCGCTTCTACCATGGGTTGATCCCACGACCTTTAGATCACCAGGCATATGACTCTGAAAAACACTTGTTGATTAACAGTATACAACAAGCAATATTATGTGCGAATGCCGATTGACTCATCACATCGATACTTTCATAGAATTAGATAATCACGGCAGAAAATACCTAGTATAGATTTTTTTTTTGATCTTGTGGGGCCAGTGAATAATGAATTTATTGTGAGCATTGTATTATGTTTATGTTATGAAAGGTTCCTATAAGAATGAATTCCAGAGATCGAGGGTGAAAATTATATATGCAATGATTTTGATTATCATTGAACAATTTATTCAATCCCGTAAACAAAAAGTCGATAACGTCCAGAGGTGGACGTACCCAGTACATCGGAATTGTACGTACCCAGTATACGATGTATACGATAACTTGGGACATCCGGTATTAACATGAAATGAGGAAACAAAATTTGCGATATTTCATCATATAAAGCCACCATGAATATTTATGATCCTTAATAATAATTGGTGTATGCTAGATACTTCATTTCCTCAATGTATTTTGCAGTTAATTAATGATAATTGTCTTTTCTAGAGTGATAGACGAGAATGTTTCGATTCAGGTAGGATCGAGAATCAAATATTTACTTTAAATTAGTTGGTTATAGCGGACGACAATTTTTTTTCAATGAATACACGGCCAACTTCCGAAAGATGTGTTTGAGTAAAATGTTTTTGTAATGGATGTTTATAATATATTGTTTGATTATATTATTGAAATCAGGTACCATTTCTGAATGGTAAAATGGCTTGATATAGAATGCATTAGGTAATTTGATTTGATTTCGTTTATCAAAATAAATACAGCCATATAATCGAAAATATCGTCTGATATCGCTTCGGTTCACGGTACTATAGTCCACTGGCAGTTTGTCTTTCACTAAATATTACAGCGTAGGTACATACAACGTTTATTCATATTGTTCCAATTTCAACTCAATATGTTGATCCAAATGTTCGGTGATTTCATCTTTGGCGCTGAAAATAAATATCGATTGAATTCAACTTCACCCCAAACAATATAGCCGGCGCTAGTTAGACTCCGCCGACAGGCGACATCGCCATTAGCAATGGGGGAGACCACTGATTTCTTAAAACGACATTATCGTGAACTCTATACTGAAAAACTACCAGTGAATCAATTTTGAATTTTTTCATTCACGCTAAGACGATGAAAAAAATAAATTAGAATATGTCCATTTCAAAACACACAATTCCTGCGCTATTTGAAATTTTGTCAATTCATTGGTGTGACTGGTGCGACGTCTTAGTCCCAACACGCCTATTGTCCTTGAACTGACCAATCACACTGCAACACTGCAGAATGACGAGGTATCAGAGGGAGATAGCTACAGTTCGGGACTAGTACGTCACGGCTCCACCATCATATTTGGCTTTTTGAAATATCGAATGAAATATGCTGATTTCAAAACGATATAGATCCGATTTCCTTCAACTTCAACTCATAATAGTGATTGTACATAAAACGTAAATCATGATCCGCTGATTGAAAGAGGTTCGCACGGATTTCTTTCCTCAGTGGTCTTCCCCATTGATGTGAATCTCCTGAAGTCCTCGCTACAAGGCTATGCCTGCGAATATCTCAAGTCGCGAACACTTAAAGACCTCGCCAGTAGCACAAGGTTATGTTTGCTAATATCTCAAACAGCTCGTTGTCGCGAGCACTTTAGGACCTCGCAAGTGGCGATTGATCCGAATATCTCAAAGGGCTTGCCTGAGGGCATTATCTGAGAATCTCTGCGTGGGATATCTTCAAGACCTCGCTGAGCTCATCCTAGGCGGCGGATATTTGGAGACGATATAGCGCTCTCGGCGATCTCTTGAAGAAGTTACAAAAGGCATCACAATGTCTGAGGAGGATATCTTCGAGATATCTTCAGGATCTCTTTGTGTTGCCTAGGTAAGTAGTCTTGAGATTATTGATGAATTCGCTCACGCAAGTTTTCTTCATTGAAGGAGAAATGAGATACAGGGTGATCCACGGTGGATGACCTATTAGAAGTAGGTATCTGGAGAACGAAAAAAAAAAGCACATCCTGAAGATTGGGATGCTCTGATAATTGAACATTCTCTATCCGTCTTAAATATTTTCATCGATACAGTGTTGCCACTTCTATCAGAAACAACTAGCAACTTCGTTATTTTTAAAGGAGCACCCTGTATTGTATCGCATTTTTGTATTCTTCCTTAAGAGCTGATTTCATCAATGCATTATACTTGGGGTCTAGCAGGAATGATGACAGAGATATAGGGTGTTCAAAATCGAGTTTTTTCAATTTCAGGATTTTTTTGAGTCGAAACTATTCATTATTGATCAAAATGGCTCACATGTTCCTATCTCAACTATTGATTCACCATCTACTGACACTTACTTGTAAAAAATACAGGGTGCTTCAGGAATCAGAATTCTGATCACCCTGTATCTGTTTCATTTAAATGTCAGTAGATAGTGAATCGAGAGTTGAGATAGAGACATGTAAGCCGTTTTGATCGATAATGTCTAGTTTCGACACAAAAACATCCTAAAACACCCTATATCTCTGTAATCATTCCTGCTAGACCCCAAGTGTGATGCATTGATGAAATCAGCTCTTCAGGAAGAATACAAAAATGCAATAAAATACAGGGTGCTCCATTTAAAATAACGAAGTTGCTAGTTGTTTCTGATAGAAGTGGAAACACTGTACCAATGAAAATATTTTTGACGGATAGAGCATGTTCAATTATCAAAGCATCCCAATTTTCAGAATGTTCTGTCTTTTCCTTCTCCAGATACTTCTAATATGCCATCCACCATGGATCACCCTGTATATAGTCGACAAAAAAATTTCTCAACCAACTCGTTACCAGTTCGGCTTCGTTAGGCAAGGTTATAGTGCAGGTGTGCTCTATTTTGCAAAAATATTGTTAAAAAAGGAAATATCATGAAATTAATATTAAGTTCAGAAATTCGTCAAACAATAACAAAAACGAAACGAAAAATTAGTATATAGTATTTAGAATGCGAACTATTTGATGGGATTCGTAATTTGCATCACTGAATACAATCTTATGGAAAAAAAACTTCCAAATTTTATCCTGTATCTTGCTCTACTATATTGCCTCTTGATGAAAACCCGTAAAATTGAGTAGGCATTTTAGATACAAAATCAATATTTGAAAATAATATTTGGTCAATATGCTCGATGCCAGGTCCATTTCAATCACGCAGTGCAAGTTTGACACGGACCACTGAATTGCAAAATGTGTCTCCATCTCTTAGAGCCCACGAAAAAGAATACCTATGATGTTCAATAGAAATCGTGTATTCTTTATAAACTTTTCGAGACTATGATTCTTTGAAAATACTTCTTTTGGCAAGAAATTCCAAAGCGTTGATGTTCTATAGACAAATGAGTTTTGGTGAAGTGTTATTCAAAAAATTTCGAGGTTGACGACGAAAAAAAAATTTGCTGAAAGGGCTATTCGAGAACGTCTGATTCAGATTCAAATAAACTTTATTGTACGGCAATCTATTTTATTTACAGTATACGCTCATTAGTTATCCAGACTGACTTCTACTTTGGGTTGAGGTCTCCTTCGGGTCTGAATCCATTTTCATCAGCAGTAAACGTCCAGTGCACATGTTTGCCCTCTCTGTTAATATAGTCCACGTTCCCTTGGATGGCAATAGATTCGTCATCAGTTCCAACATTTTTCAAAACTCCCTCTTCTGATCTGGTAAGACCATCGCTGGTTTTCACGCTACAAAAATCATGATATATAGATGGATGTAGATATTTCCAGAGCTATTCTTACGCAAATTTGTATCCATCAATACCACTGTTTTCAACGTCATATTGTAAAACTTCCGCTTCTTTGGATGGGACCACATGATCTATGTGATCAACGGCAGCTGATGAAGCTACTGCGATTACCACAGAAAGGATGATTACCTGTGGAACATAATATATAATCATTATTCATTTTACTTGATTATTTGGGATTTTCTCTCTTCGTTTTAATAAAATGAATATATGGGTATTATTTCAATACATATGAATACTAGGACAAATCAGAGTATATGTTCCAAGATGTCACTGCGATAACAAATTTTCTTATCAGGGAGCCCAAAAGAAAAATACAAAAGTTTGTCAGTGACACTTTGTTAGGAAAAATGTTTGAAGAGAAGATATATAGGAATATTGAAAAAATATCGAATTTTTACTTATATCTTTGGACGTTTTGGGAACGCATCTGCTCCCGTTCTCAACATAAAAATGCGAAATATTCTTCTACAGGTATGTTTTCCTTATATTTTGACACCTCTCTATGGAAAAACATTTTTGAAGAAAGATATTTTGCATCATCATGTTGAGAACGAGAGCAGATTCGTTCTCGAAACGTCCAAAGATGAGTAAAAAATCGATATTGTTTCAATATATCCATATTTCTTCTCTTCAAACATTTTTCGGAAGCTATTCAATTTTTCTTTTTGATTCTCTGATACAGAAATTTGTTAAACTAAGTGACATTTTGAGGCAAATCTTCTGATTTGTTCTGCTACACTTATATTGAAATAATACTCATATTTTTATTTTATAAAAACGAGGAGGGAAAATCTTAAATAATCAACCTTGATAAACCAACAGACAGTATATAATTATCAATTATTTTCCTCACTAGCATGCGCAAAGTTACTATTCTAAATGAATTACAGTCCGTAAAGTACAACATTTCTGCACGACATTCAGATCAAATTTTCACCTTCACTGAATACGTTAAAGGTGACACACTCAAAAATCTCATCAGAATGAGAATTGCATGATGATTTTCGTATCTGTGTACTATTTCATTCAATACCTATCATAAGGAGTCGATATATGTGTATTATCCTCAACCTTTCAATCGTCATTCCCAATATACAGGGTGAGTCATTAGTGTGGCAAATAGAGATAACGGCTTCACTGTTTGAGATAGATGAACAAAATTTTTAGAGATGATCTAGGATCATGAGCAGCAGATTTTCAAATTATTTCTCTTTATACAGGGTGACTCAGAAATGCGTGGCGTATCAAAGTTATACTTTATCATATGGGACACCCTGTATTTCATCGAATTTTCGCATTCTCCTTCTTGAGCTGATTTCATCAATGCATCACACTTGAGGTCTAGCGAGAATGATTTTAGAGATAAAGGGGGTTCAAAATCGAGATTTTTCAACTGTATGATTTTTTTGCGTCGAAACTATTCATTATTGGTCAAAACGGCTCTGATGTCCCTGACTCAACTTTTGATTTACTATCTACTGATATTTATTTGAAACAAATACAGGGTGGTTCAAGATTCAGCATTATTCTGATCACCCTTGTATCTGTTCCAATTAAATGTCAATAGATAGTAAATCAAAAGTTGGGATCGGGACATGAAAGCCGTTTTGACCAATAATGAATAGTTTCGACGCAAAAAAATCCTAAAGTTGGAAAATCTCGATTTTGAACACCATATTATATCTCTGTAATAATTCTCGCTAGACCCCAAGTGTGATGCATTGATGAAATCAGCCCACAGAGGAGGGTACGAAAATGCAATGAAATACAGGGTGCTCTATAAGAAAAATATAACTTTGATACGCCAAGCATTTCTGAGTCACCCTGTATTAAGCGAAATAATTTGGAAATGTGCTGCTCAGGATCCTAGTTCATCTCTGGAATTTTTGTTCATCTATCTGAAACAGTAAAGCCATTATCTCACTTTGCCACACTAATGACTCACCCTGTATGTATGTCAAGACAAGCAAACTAATCCGTCATAGTATATTGTGTAATGATACACGATATCGTTAACAGATTATGTTATCTTCAATTATTTTTGGGAATGGTACAGTCCTTCTTATCTATTTTGAGAAATGCATTGAATGGGTTAGATTTCTCTATTTTCTAATTTACTTAATATGTACAAACCTCTGAACAATAGTAGATTGTTTTATTAGGATCAAAAGTGACACTGTGTTTGACAAGCGAATTCTGCTTCTGCGAGGTAGAGCGTCAAGCGGAGCCGAGCGGAAGTAAAATTTGCGAGTCGAACAAAGTCACTTTTGATCCGAATGAAACATGCTATTTTTTCTGCAACCGAAACAATTAACTCAAATAAACATGTGAAGTAACCACCAATGCCGTGCCATATGTATGCAATGCAACAAGTATTGACAAATAATCCATGTGGTGAGAATATTCTACCTGCATTAACAGCAGGTTAGGTTTTCTAGGATGTTCGAATAATTGTAGTTTCAATATAAATACAACCACAGAGTGACATATTTGTGTATGGACCAGGTGCTCTAATGGCAAATACCGCGCCAGTGCCAGCTATAGAAACAAGACTTGGAAAATGTTAGGTTAGTGAGCACATCAACAATGATAATAGTGATTATTTATTCCTCTCCATACTACACTGTGTTTGACATGATAATCAAATGAAGCTAAACAATATCGTTGTGTGAGACAAAAAAACTATTGCTTGCCGTGATTATTCAAAAACAAGTTATCCATCCCGAGAATAACGAATGAAATACAGATCAAGCAAGTATTTGAATCTTGAAGGCTTCCCTGATCAAAACAAAAATACTTAACTGAGATGTTTATAATCCCAATACTAAACCATAATAAGGTGTATTTATATCTCCAGCATGGGTATGAAATGCCAAATCTGCTGAAATCGGAAACAAATCAGGTATGCGTCTCAACCCAAATAACCAACCGTCACATAGTTGTTCATTCTTGATGGCGTCCAGTACATCCTTTTTAGTTTCTAGGAGCTGAAGTTCAACTTTAGCTCCTAGGAACTAAAATTCAACTTTAGCTCCTAAGAACTAAATATGTTGCCTAGCAACATACCAATTTTTGTATCAGTAATAGAAACGTCAATTTAAGAGCTAATTTTGGTATCAATATGGACGACTTTTGTGTCGGTTGCAGAAAAAATATTTGTATCGCTTCGTTCGACTCACTGTTGCGGACATTTGAATAATGAAGAAAAATATCGAACCAGTGTGTTATAATTCTCAACAATTTCGAAATAAATTTTCAAATTCACAGGTGTTTCACATGAATCTGAATCGAGCATTATATCGGCATTGGTGCCAAATCCTCTGTTTTCCAAAACACATATCAATATTTTCATTAAAATGCAAAATGCATATGTGAAAGATTCAATCAGAGATTTTAACCAGGTATCGAAGGTAGGTTCCTGGTGTGCATGATGAGCGTACATTTCCTAAACCAGTAATATGTATCATCAGTCGACTCAAGTTTAGTTCATATCATAATCAAGAACTAGTTTGTTTCTCCTATACTCTTTGAGTTTTGTAAAAATGGTTAATCTCTTCACGGTAATGCATTATTGAACTGACGCTACTTTTTCAAGAAATACATCATGTATATTAAAGAATTCAGTTAGCAGAGCTTGATATTAGGCAACATTGAAGAAGCCAATAAGAGGACATCAAAAAAAGTTTCGTTCATGGCAGCCTACATAATTATGGATAAATCAATCGGGTATGACACTACACTTCCACTAAAAAGAAAAAGAAGTGATGAGTATTTCCAAATTGATTTTTCTGTCTATGATTCGCCTTATACATATTTGTGTATGGCTTCTTGAATAGATATACTCGTATAATGTACAGGTATTTCTCGAAATGAAATTGGGCAAAACTAGGAGAGGTTCATGAAAATGTTGCTGGAACCCTTGAAATTCTATCACCAATCATTATTCCAGATTTTTTAATTCTCTCTATTCCCGTTTCTATAAAATAAAAATATGAATATTATTCAAATATACGTGTAGTAGGGACAAATCAGATGATTTGCCCTAAGATGTCACTGCGTTTAAAGTATTTTCCTATCAGAGAGCCTGAACGAAAAATTCACTAGCTTGTCAGTGACAATTGTCACTGAGAACTGGAAAGTTTCAAGACAGATACGAAATTGCTATTCAAATAACCATTTTCCATCTTGAAAACAAGAGCAGATTCGTTCCCGAAACGTCCCAAGCTAACTGAAAGTTTGATATTTTTTCTATATACTTACCTTTAATTCTCTTCTGAAAACCTTTTTCAATACGAGTTGTCACTGACAAGCTATAGTGAATTTTTCTTTTAGGCTCTCTGAAAATTATTTAAACGCAGTGACATTTTGGGGCGAATCATCTGATTTGTTCTTACTACACGTATATTGAAATAATATTCATATTTTCATTTTATAGAAACGAGGAGAGAAAATCCCAAAAAATCTGGAATAATGAATGTACCACCTCCTCGGTTTACATACAGACAAAACTTTTATCACCAATTTTGAAAGAATCAATAGTTACAATGATTTTGTTATTGGTGGTTCGATAGATATTTCACTATGTGTGTAACAAATATTGCTCCTATATGATATATTTTTTCCTACTGCATAGTTTTGACATCTATATATTTGAGTTTTTGAACATCATCTCCGAACGATTCTAATTATCGTTGGAAGATCGAATAACTTCCTGAATTATTTTGTGAACAGTGATTTATTGAACAAGAATATTGAAATTGACTCCAATATTTTGGAGACACAAGAGACATCACAAATATAACTCAATAAATTTAGCTCATAGGATGTTTCAAAATTCAGTATCAAGATTTCAAGAGCATATTTTTTAAATCGAAATCAGAATTTATTCCTTCAAAGCTCAATTAGTGTTCGACAATTCCAAATTTGAAACATAGGTTACGTTTCAGGGTTCACATCATACAGTGTCAAGTGATTGTGAAGACATACACGATGACATTTTTCGATCGTCAAGCATTTTTTCGATTCATAACCTTTTGTGTGGTGCGCCACTGGTTGATTGTGGAATACGAAATGAGGTCTTTGTTTCGTTTATGAGTTTTTCCGTCTCCTGTTATTTTTCGGCTATCGAGAAAAAAAAAAGTATAATTCGTTAGATTCAAAAAATATTGAAACTTTAACGATCTGTAGATCGAAAAAAGAGCGTTTGCTGACATATATTCAGAAAAAACAGACTCAATATGACCTGAAAAATGAGGTCCTGAGATCTTGATACAGAATTTTGAGACACCATGTATACTGAGGGTTTTTTTATTTTCAAATACTGTTTTTATTTCCAGAACAGAGCGTTTCTAATCATATATTGAACCACTCCTGAGAATGTTTGACTCCAAAGTGTTGACCTACCTATGTACACTCGTCTTCAAAGATCATGTCGCACATGGACGGTGTCAGCTCCCTTGATCACCGCTGCAATAAAAACGCTCATACCGTCCAACCGCGACATGTTCGCTGAAGACGAGTTACATCATGATAATAATAATAATAATTCACACAAAGACGAATGAACTTACCAATTTCATGATGATTTTGTTCTTGTCAGCTCTTGACTGTGATTCTTCTAGAGAATCGAATCCTTTTTATATTCGATTCATCGTTATAAAAAAATACCAGATCTTCATATGCACGCGATGGCACTGCATCAACTGTCAAGGTTAGGTAGTTTTTAGCATTTTTTCATGTATACTTTTTCAATAAATCTATCAATCGTCGCGTCTCTTAACTATAAAATATTTTCAAGGCTATATTTCGGAAATTGATTATGATATAATAGGTTCTCATAATTTGAATATTTGGTTGGTATTGTATTATGCCCAGTGAATGAGATTGTTGTTCTCTTCCCTGCCGACGACATTCGACAGTAACTGTGAAAGTAAACCACTGGAAGACATATACAGGATGTTGGTGCATAAATGCGACAAACTTCAGAAGGTGATTCTTTGTGATATTTTGAAAAATAAAGTTCATATAAACATGTGTCCTTACTTGCTTCGGTTTCAAGATACAGGGTATTTATATTTCTATGAAAAATCGTTTTTTTAATCATAACTCAAATGTCATTCAACTAATTTTCATGAAACTTGCTGGTTCTGTTGAATGTAACGTGGAGCCTCTCTTGATGTGATTAAATTCGAAAAAATATTTCCAGTGGCGTCACAGTGGGTCAATCTATCGATATTTACGGTTAATATCATATAGTATCTTACGGGTTTTTCTGACTTCCATATTTTGATTTGATTGAACAATTGATACATCAACTATATCTCGCTCAGTATTTGAGGAAACAATAAAAATTCGTATTGACTCCAAATTCTAATGTAGGTACTCTCGAATCATTCATTGAGATTACTCAATAACCTCAATAAGTTTGATTTCGAGATTTTAGGACTATTCCAGTCTCCAACCATACTAAACTTCGGCACCATGAAAGCATATACAGAGGCGTTATGAATAAAAACAATTAAAACCTTCAACCTCAACATCCTGTGAGTATATCAAAAACGAAGCAAGTTAGGACACGTGTTTTATGAACTTTATTTTTCAAAATATCACACGGAATCACCCCCTGAAGTATTTCGCACTTATTCACTAGCACCCTGTATATGGGGTGGAAATTTCAACTGGAATCAATTTGATAGCGCCCTATAGGGGGCATTTGAACAAAATATGTTGGAGCTGATTTCAGCTAGTCGTGAACGGTTATATTCCTGATATCGCTCGCAAAAAGAATATGAATAGTATATTGAAACGTTGACGTGTCTCGCTGCGATCAATAGAAAAATCATTCACTTTCCCGCTAGCATATTGATTCCAGTTCCACACCATATACAGAGAGTTAGTAAATAAGTGCGATAAACTTCTGGGGGTGATTCCTTGTGATATTTCAGGAAATAAAGTTAATATAAACATGTGTCCTACCTTGCTTCGTTTTTCATATTCAGGATGTTGAAGTTGGAAGTATTAATTGTTTTCATTTATAACGCCCCAGTAAAAGCTTTCATGATGCCAAAATTCAGTATGGATGGAGACTGAAATATAGTCTCGAAATCTCAAAATGATTCTAATTGAGGTTATTGAGTATTCTCAATGAATGTTTCGAGAGCACTTACATTAAAATTTGGAGTCAAATCGAATTTTTATATGATATGGCTTGTGACCCATCATTTCTTGTTGAGGAAGGAATCCAGTGTACTGATGAAATTTTGATTTGTCGTACGTTCGACAAATGCACATATTCAGAACAGAACATTCAAGTTTATTCTCATTCAAATTATTTTCATCCAATTCATTTCCACCAGTTCTCAACAACACTCTGTTCCGAACTGTGAATACGGCATACAAATTTAATTTATTCTTGCGACTGTGGCATGAAATATAGCAAATATTAGTTGTAGCTGAAGAATTCTATGAATTTTCCAATACACATTTGCAGAAATCATTACGCTGAAGATACTTAAGATTTCAATATCTCTTCTTGATTTTGTACATTCCTCAAACGTACTTGAAACTAAGATTCGATCAGCCCTCTGGATTTCATTTTCCGCCAGCTTTCCATGCATATAGAGGCCATAGAGTTCCATTATGAAAATGTATGTTCAGGGTGGTTTCAGCTATCCCTCAAGGAATATATTCTCCATGTTGCTTGCAAAATATAGAAAAAATCTTCAAAATGTAAAAAATTTGCAGAAAAAAAATCCATCTTCCGGCTAATGAATATATTCCAGTTGAAGTCTCCACCCTGGATACACTATATCGAAGCATAATTTCCTAAATTTCAGAGTACGTAGTTTTCATGATGTGATCTCGACTTTTTTTGAACGTTTGAATTGACATGAAGTGGGAAGAGTAAAGGAAATATTCAGTCATCCAAATACCATCTCCATCACTGAACAGGCCGTTATTCAGAAGAGGAAAGGTAGATATTTTGTTCAGCAATATTTCGAAGTTGTGAATCAAATTCACAGTATTTGAAACATGTGCGGGCTTAGCAATACCGGAACCTACAAACTACACACGGATAAATATATGATTTCTCGATTCAATGCGCAACTTCATTGGCGCTCTTGAATAGGTCCAACCAAATATTTGTTTGATGTTCCTTCAGAACTTGATTGACTCATTCATGGAAACAACTTGAATCTGATGAATCTTCTTCGTTTCAAACAAGAAAATTCATCTATTGTCAAGTTAATCTACCATTACAGTTGAACAAGTTTGTTCTTGAATCAGGAAATTCTGAGCTTTCTACAAATAGATAATGTCTTATCATTATATCTGAGTGAACATTTTCAGAAAATCCTAATTTCTTTGTGGTGAAATATTCTCAATTTAAAGGGAATAAAATACAGCTTATATAAGTAGGTATTGATGGTTTCACCATAAGAG